AGCGGCACTAGGCCTGTTGGAGGGTTGACCAATGCCGGCGCCGGGACCTGCCTCCTTTTCCACGCCATGGTGCTGTCTGACTGTCTAGCTGCCTAGCTGACAATCTAGCTGGCTGGCTGTCCTGCTTGGATGGGTCATGGAACTGGGTTTCGTCGCCAGCGGGACAGTGGCGATCGTCCGACGCGACCACCAGTAACAAGACGAGGTACCCAGGGCGAGCCAGATGGGACGACGACGATCCGGGCTAGGGCTCCCAAGAATCCGCCGGTCGCGTGTCTGTGTCTGTAGGGGGGGAAAGTGGTAGCAAAAGCAGTGTACGTACCAGTGTTCTGACGTCGTTGCAATCAGATGTGTGACTCGGTTTGCATTGACGATGGACGAGCTGACAGGTCGCAAGCGGTACAAGGCAAAAAGGAAGGCCGGGATCTGATGCCGGGCTTGGGTGGGAGGGCGAGTGATGAACGCGGCAAGACGAACGGTGAGACTAGGCGCAGGCTCGACGTGGAGTGGGCGGTGCAGTGTGTGGTTCAAGTCTAAGTGTGGTGTTGAACTGTGGCTCGAAGGTAATGGCCAGGAACGAAAACGCGATAGTGTAATGTGCGGATGGAGGCTCGGGACAGGTAAGGTAGGAGCAACAGCAAGAGAGGAGGCGAGATAGAGGGAGTGCACAAACAGACGTCAATGTGAGAGCGACGGAAGAAGGCGAGAGAGAGAGAGAGAGAGAGAGACGGGCACAATCCGAGGCGCAATCACCTACCTAGCTCAGGTACTGAGGTACCCGGTCTACCTAGGTACCTAGGTAGGTAAGGTTAAGGTACTTACAGTACCTAGGTCGGACTCAAGGGGTTCAGGTCCGCTGGCAGGATGGATGGATGGATGGATGGGGGCGAGGAGCAACTGATGAGACGGACGGAGATGGGGAGGGGAGGGGGGGTCCTGAGATCGGCAACTGCCTTCTCTTCGTTGCCTGGCCTTACCATGAGTAGGGTGCAATACGGGCCCTTACAATTGGATGTCGCTGTCCCATGGAAAGGGGCCCCCGGACTCCTGGGTCTCTCTGCTCCTGTCGTCTCGTCTCCTCTCTCCTCTCCTGCTCATCTACCTTTACTGTACTTTTGCTTGGCCACCTAGATACTCAGACATTTTCCCCAGGTCTTTTGCTTCCACCAGAGGCAGCATTGCAGATCGAAACACCTGCAGCCAGGTCCATCTGGCTCCTCCTGCCCGTCCTGCCCATCCTGCCAATCGCTGGAGGACAGGGCGGTGGATTCGAGTGGACGTTTGCCTCTAAGCTGTGGGACCTCCGATGTACCTTGCAGTAGCAGCTTCCATCCACGGGTACCTGGCAGGCCATGGAGCCGCTAGTGTTGCCTATGCATGCGCTGAAGACAATGGAGTGGGCAGGTCCAGGGCTTGTGCTCCTTCCCCCAGTCCAGGGTCCAGTACCTGAGGGTCCGCCGCTAACGCTATTGGGCACGCACTCCAGACTCACGCTCCACTGGCCTCTGACTGCCTGCTACTCTTGGTCCTGTGAGGCATCGTATTCCCCTCAATTCCGCATCTCAAGATTGACCTAGGTCATCCTCCTGGGTACCGTGCCTGGCCTTACCTGGAAACCCTCTCTGAATCGGAGGAGAAGGGCGGCCGCATCGTAATACAAAACCCTTTGAGGAGCTCCAGGTCCTGATTATTGACCGACTTTTGTCCTCTCTCAACGACGTACCGCATCCACAGCATAGCCATTGCTGCAGGTGCCCTTCCGTCATGAAATGCCACGGGCCCTGTCTGTCACGGCGTCGACTCTGCCCACATGGAGAGGCGTCACAGTGTTCATGCATCCTGGGCCGTGGCGCACGCGGCTTCGCTTCGCCTTGCTTTGGCTTTACATGACGTTCCGCGACACCAACCGCATTCAGCTTGACATTGAACGCACACACTCTCGACTGGCCTCAACATTACTTTTATCCCGAGAAAAAGCGCATTACTGCCCCATGCGACCAACCAGAAACAGCAGCGCGCAGAGGAGCCGTCAAGCAGAGCCTCGTTTGAGCTTTCTTCTCTTCACCCCATCATCTTTATGGATTATGCACTAACCCCAACATGATCAGGGAGCCATTTCAATCATGATGCATGCCTTCGACCCGATAGAGTTCCCGAGATACTGTACCATGTACACACACAACCGAAAGCAAAAGGACGGAAAGGAAAAGAATTAAATTGGCACCTCTCGGGGGCAATGCCACGGAGCTCGGCCTTCGCTCTCCTCTCTGTCCAGTCCAATCCAGCCCCTTTCTGCTACTTCTCCTTGAGATTGCAGCCCCTGGCTGCCCAGGCCGCCTCCCGGTCCAATCATCCTCCGACCCATCGACGTCTTCTTTCGAAGCTAGCTAGTGGTCTTCGGCCGCAACTCCAAGCATCCTGGTCCTGCTCCCTGCGCCGGGATCCGTCCCCTAGACTTCTTCGCTTCCCCGTTCTCTCCACTCTGCATCAGACACTGGACGGAGAAGACCTACCCGTCTACCGTTTCAAACCTGGGGCCTGGGGCTCACCCAATCTCCCGCCCTGTACTTCGGATTTGAGGTTGCATTGTTGTCCCAGTCGTCACCGACCGTCAAATAAGCACTCAAATCCCATGCACTACGTGCGGGTTCGCGCAACGACTCAAAGAACAATCTTTGAGTTCCCAAACCTGGCCAGAATTCCCGTTTGATCGTCATCGCTCGTCCCAAGCTGTATTCATCACAGATGTCAAAAATTCATAGCCGACGTTGACAGGATAATAAGGTTCCAACTGCACAGACGATATCGTCCCTGCGCCGGGCAATTCGACCGACCTTTTTCTTAGCTCAATGGACACGGTGCACAAAAAGACGACGTAGTTGTTTTCTCCTCTACGCAGTAGGCCCAGAACCCACGTCCGTCATCTCGGGTCTCCTAGAGACAGGGTCGCAAGGTTGCAGAGGGAAATGGAAAACGGCAAGGTCGTTTCATCTTGAGGGTGGCATCCAGTCCAGCCCTGTGCGTTGAAATTGCCCGAGATCGATCTCCGCCCGTCATGTGCTTCACTGGCATTCTAGATCTCGTCCCCCGACGATCCCGAGAGCCTTTCAGCCACTGTTATCACGAGCGATCTCTCGCCTCTGGACTGGATCTTTCCTGGGCTCACAAACGGGCGCCTACAGCGACTTGTGGCACGCGGCCACGCGGCATCCCGTCGCCATGTGTATGGTTGAGAAGAGGTATTCCGCTGTCTATCGATTCGTCCGGATGTTCTTAGGCCACTCTTGCAGACCTTCTTGCCAACACCATGGCACCCATCCCGTCTATGTTGACGCCAAGCTATGCGATATGGTTGTTACAATGTGATGGAATCCGAAAGAATGAACCAGTGAACCAACTTGTTTGGCGCTGCACTTCAGGTTGCCCTATCCATCAAACACCTCGTGCTGAAGCTCGATGCCCATGTCCTGGGCAATGTCTTTCATCCTCTTCTCCATCTCATCCTCCATGCCACCGCCACGACCTAGCCACTGACGTAACTTGAAGAAGTAAAAGGCGACATCTGTTGTCGCCATGACCATTTTGAACAGAACATGGCGCCAGGCGTTGTTGAATCGCTGTCCGAGGGGAAGCCTCTTGTCCTCGAACATGCTGCGACTCGCCCACTCGCCCATCATCTTGATGCGATTCACCGGGGACCCCAAATGTTGATTGTTGCCCTGGACGATGCGCATGTTGCGTCCGATGAACATGAGCTCCTTGGGTAGCTTGTCACCATCGCCCAAGATCTCACGCACTCCCTGCTTCATCCTCCTCTGCATCTCGTAATGGCGCTCGGCCGGCGTCGCCCCCTCCAAACCCTTCATGAGACCGCTGCGAGTCCGCTGGTCACCACCTTCATAGGGACGCAGCAGCGTGGCGCTGGCAAAGATATCAGCCGCCTTGATACCCCAGTCTTCCGTCACCCGGCTGATGGTCGCGTTGTCGAAAGTCAGGAGCGCTTTCCAGAATTGGCCATACTGCTGACGGAACTTGGGGTCCATGTACACGTAGAGGCCGTGGTCGATGAGCACCAGTTCAGCGCGGCCATTGGGCTTGCGTCGAATGAAGATGTTACCGGGGTGCGGGTCACAGTGTACGACACCCCATTTGAAGATTTGTGCGGAGAAGAGGTCAATCATGGTCGTCATGACATCCTTGGTCGAGACGCCGAGGCCACCCTTACCCCGCGGGCCCTTCCACTCGAGGCGCTCCGGCTTCAGCTGCTCGTTATAGCCCTGGCCTCGGACCTGACGGCGCGCGAGGTCTTTCTGGGTCGGCGGCGGAAGCTGGGCGCCGTTGACGCCGGGCGAGCCCTTGCCATATCCACCACGCCAGGTGCCCGTGATGCCCTCTTTGTCCCACAGCCTGACGCCCTCGATCCACTCGGTCGTCATGACGCGTCTTGAAGACAGCTCGGGATAGACGACGGGGACGTAGACACGGCCGCGCAGTCTCTTCTCGCTCTCGACGAGCTTGCGCATGGTCTCGGAGTTGCGTGCCTCATTCTCGAAATCCGTCTCGAGCTCGAGCCGCTCGGTGATAAAGGGCACGAGGCTGTACAGTGGCAGGTCGAACCACTTGCTGTAGATCCACGAGACCGTCTTGAACGCCCACAGGTCCCAGGCGATCTGGCTCGCAATCTCCCGCTTCTGGATCTTGATGGCGACCTCGCGGCCGTCGGCCAGCCGCGCCCAGTGCACCTGGGCAACGCTGGCACTGGCGCGCGCGCGCCTCTCCATTATGCCATTGCCGCTGCCGTTGCCCTGCGCAGCGCCCGGCGCGAAGCTGACGCCAAACACGTCCTCAACGCTGCGGCCGCCAAAGTCCTCGCGCACGACGCGCTCGACGTCGGCCCACGAGTTTTGCGGCGCATCGTCGAACATGCGCGCGAACATTTTCTGGAATTCGGGCGGCAGCACAGCGGACTGCATGGCGATGGCCTGGCCGATCTTGAGGTAGAGGCCGCCGTTGGCGCGGAGGAGCTCGAAGAGGCGCTCGGCATTGCGGTGGTGAACATCGGTCACCGAGTCGCCGACCCAGGGGTCCGGGCGAAAGTTGAGCTTGTAGTCGAGAGCGACGAGGAGGCCGGTGCCAAATGTCCGCGCTGAGCGCGTCACGCCGGCGGCGTAGAAGTAGCTGTCGAGGGCGTAGAGGGCGCCGGCCGTCGCGGAAAGGAGGAAGAGGCGGCGGAAGAGGCGACGGGAGCGGGTGTAGGTGCGCGCGGCCTGCGGGGCGCCGAGCGAGGAGGGCGAGGGGGGCGCGAGCGGCTGGAAGGCACTGCGGCGGCTGGCGGAGCGGGTTTGGAGGGTCGATGGTCGGGGCTGGCGCGCCGCGAGGTGGGTTCGGAGGAGGCGCGAGGATGAGGGCGTTGCCGCTGTAGAGAGGGTTCGGCGGGATGCGGCGAAAGTACACCGGGAGGTGACGATGTGCGGTCGTGGCGATGAGAGCGGGCGCCGGCCGAGGCCCGCTATCCGTTGTTGTAGCATGGCTCGTGTGTGTGTGTGAGAGAGAGTGTGTGTGATAGAGAGTCGATATTTCAGGGGCGAGGAGGAGAAGGAGGAAGGTGGCGGGGAGCAGCAAAGGCTCAAAGGCCTTTGGGTGTGGCGGCGAAGAGACGGCTGGAGGCTTAGTGATGACTGCGATATGGTAGGAAAGATTGTTCTCAGGTCGTGACGACATGATGGGTGTCTGGGTACGGAAGACTGCAGGCCGAACTAGCTCAAAACCCCAAATTTCAAAAAATCGAT